AATGAAAAAGATGACTGAAGATGGTAAAAACAACTTCAAATGTACCTAAAAGTATGTCTGAGCATATATAATGGCAGGTAGGGGGATGGAGAGGAGAAAGGGGCAAGAACCCATCTGCATTCAAGTAGAGCAAAGGAGAGCAGAGATAATCGTTTATGCATGATTGATTTATCCAACAAATATTTACTGAGTGGCTTACTCTGAGCCAGGCATTCAGTAAGACACATTAGAGCATGGGGATGGTCAGGATAGATAAAGTCCCCGATAGTTAGAATAACTAGCATTTATTTATTGGCTACTATGTGCCCGATGTTTGCCTAAGCACCATATGATTTCTTTTAATCCTCCCATAGACACAGATATAATTTTAATCCCTTGTTATGATGAGGAAACAGGCTCAGAGAGGATAAGTAACTTGCCTGAGGTCACAGAGGTCACGTGTGATGGAGCTGAAATTCAAATCCAGGATCACTTGACCACTTTATGGTTGGTGGGCCTTGCTAAGGGGTGGTAAGCTTAACAATGGGTACAAGGAACACTACCCCCAGAAACACAACAAGGAACAGGGAACTGTCCAGAGTCACAAGAATCTAGGTGCTCTGCTTTCCTGGGCCCCTTTCACTCTAGAAATCTTCCTGTTTACTTCCTACTTCCTAGTGTCTTAAACGACTTCAAAAGAGCACAGAATTCTTCCATTTCATCCTTAGAAATTAAGGTGTTGTTGCATTTCTGCTTTGCATGATACTTGACTTATCTTTAGGAGGGGGGACAACTGGTCCCTTCTGTGCAATAAGCCATTCTAGTACCCATTGTTTGGAGGCCCTGGGTTCGCCCCAAACCAAAACCTGTAGTCTGGCACATTTTTTAGCATCTCTGCCCCTTAACAGGGGTATCCTTTCCATCTGTCTCTTACTCGCTGCTTGTCAGGGGGCTGAGGCATTGTCCTGGAGCTGCTGACTATTGGTGGGCTTCTGAAAAACTGCCTGTTTCTTCTTACAAATTCTCTCTACTGATCTAGGAGGAGTCCCCTTGTTGCTGTTGGCCTTAACCACTCTGCAGGGGCTGCAAACCATTGAGGATGGCTTAGCGTGAGGGTAATCTCTGGGTCCGTCGACTGAGGGCCTGTATCACTGAGTTTGGTTTCCCCTTGGGGCCTGCCTTACCTTCCCCCCCCCATTCAATTTCTACAATTTTTGACTCTTTGGAAGAAGTTGTTCTGTTTTCCAGGAACCTAACTTATATCATAGCAATTTATTTAGCCTCCGTGTGGAGTTAGAAATCTTTGCTCTCATCCCAGGCCCTATGTGGAGATATAACATGGAGGTCCTCAGTTCTGTTCATGATTGCAAAGTGTGATCCAGCATTCTCATGTGTTGATTTGCCAAAACAGAAGGGTTTATATTTAGAGCCTGGACCACATTGCATGTGGAGAACTTGAAGTTCCCTGATTCTTTTTGGAACCTTCCTTATTTTGGTAACATGCTCTAGCCAGGTTTCAAATGTCTCTCTCCCTGTCATGGCAGTAGTAGGTCCCAGGTATTTTCTAGGTGAGGTCACACTGCTAGGCCAGCACTTGTAGGGAGGAGATATAGTATGGAACTGTGATGCTGCCCTCAGCCCTGCATTCAGAAGCCTGCTGCTTCGCCCTGGGTCTCCCTTACTGCTTCAGGGAGGAAAAAGGCATTTTATTTAAAATTATTTAAAAATTTAATAATTATGCCAAACTCCCCTTCCTAGGTCTCTCTGTAAAAATCTGAGAGGCATTCATATTACTAATAAGAACAATAATAACCACCAGCATTTAGTAAGTAGTAAACATGTGATAGACATTATGCTTAGAATTTTGTCTGCTTTTTCTTATTTATTTTATTCATTTATTTATTAACAGACAGGGTGATCCTCTTGCTTCAGCTTCCTGAAGTGTTGGGCTTACAGGCATGAGTCACCATGCCAAGCCTTATTTATTCTTTATAACCCTGTTAAGTAGGTGATTTCAACTGCATTGTATAGGTGAGGGAACTAATTCCCAGAGAATTGAGAACCCATGTCTGTGACTGCAGCACATGTTCTGCAGGACTACATCGTACCTCCTCTCATTGATAGAAATCTTCATTAAGGTCTTGCCCTTCCTTATAAAAGTACTGCAGAATGGTTAACAGGTTTACCAGGGATTCTAGAGTCATCTGGAAGAGCAGTGTTTTTCAAAGTGTTGTCTGCGGACCACGTGTATCAGAATTCTCCTGGCTGCATGTTAAAATCACAGATGTACTGAATCAGAACCTCTGAGAGCAGGGCCAGGGAATCTGCATTCTTACAAAGTTTGTGAGTGGCTGGGCGCGGTAACTCACAGCTGTAGTCCTAGCACTCTGGGAGGCCGAGGTGGGCAGATTGCTTGAGGTCAGGAATTCGAAACCAGCCTGAGCAAGAGCAAGACCCCGTCTCTACTATAAATAGAAAGAAATTAATTGGCCAACTAATATATGTAGAAAAAATTAGCCGGGCATGGTGACGCATGCCTGTAGTCCCAGCTACTTGGGAGGCTGAGGCAGGAGGATTGCTTGAGCCCAGGAGTTTGAGGTTGCTGTGAGCTAGGCTGACACCACGGCACTCACTCTAGCCTGGGCAACAAAGCGAGACTCTGTCTCAAAAAACAAACAAACAACAACAACAAAAAAAAAACCACAAAAAAATAAATTAATTAAACACAAAGTTCTGTGAGGGATTCTGATAGGCCCTAAAATCCGAGAAACACTGTCAGATATTCTCACTGACAGACTAATCACAGTTTATGTGCAGGCCTGAAACCAACAGTAGAGATTCATGGGGCCATACTGCAGGGTTGGCACCCTTTGTCTTTAAAGGGCCAGGCACTACATAGTTTGAGCCTTGTAGGTCATACAGGTCTCTGTTGGAACTGCTCTGCTGTTGTAATGCAAAAGCAGCCATAGACAGTCGTAACCAATGGACATAGTTGTGTTCCAGTAAAACTTTGTTTTCAAAAACAGGCCATGGGCTAGATTGGACAACAGTTTGCCAACCCCCTCTCCTTGGCCCACCAGCGCTCTGACAACCCCTTTTTGTGCAAGATATTCTTAGACTACTTTCTGTTACCTATAGAGAGTTGTATCTATTAGGATAAAATTGCCCATTAGATAAACCCTGAATCTTAGTGACTTAAGACATTAAAAGTTATTTCCCACTCATCTCAGAGCCCAGCGAGGCTATTCCTAGTTAGAATCTTCTATGTGGTTGTTTAAGACCAAGGTTCCTTCATGTGGCTTCATGGTCCTCAGAGTGCTCTCCATTCAGCTACTAGGTGAGGAAAGAAACCAAGGATTGATTACTCATGGAAGTTTTTATGAGCCTGGCTTGGCTTGGAAGAGGTGCTCCTCATTTCTATGCACATTTCACTAGCCAGAGATCTTATCTGGGCTCCACGAATAGAGCAATTTCTTAAGCCCATGAGGCTCTTGGTCTCTGTTCCCCTCTAGCTTTGCTTGAAACTCACCCAGTTCTTTCCTGGGCTCCTCTCTTCTTTGTGAAGAGTTTTTCTAAGGTCAGCCAACAGGAGCACTCTGGTTCTGTCTAGCCACTTTCCCTAGGGCCACAGGCCCACAAGGTACCTAGTCCAATTCTACATAACCGTAGGTGTAAGTTTTACCAAATATTTTGCTACTGTATAACATAGATCTCCATCTTTCCAGCCTCTGAGATCAGTTTCCTCACTGGCTGCTGCCTGCTTACTAAGCCTGTGCTACATATTTCAGGGGGTTGCTATGGTGGCACCCCACTACAAGATACCTACTTCTGTATTAGTTCAGATAACACAGAGGCTTTAACAAGTAAACCCAAATTCTACCTAAATAACACAGCTAAATGTTTATTTCTTGCTCACATCATATGCTAATACTGCTATTCCTGGCGATGTGGCCTTACATGTGATCATTCAGGGACCCAGGTTCTTCCATCTTAAAGTTATGCTCTCCTGCAGGTCCCTGGACTCTCTCCCTCCAGCTGGTCACAGAGCAGGAGATCAGGTACCTCCCTGGGGATGTGCCTGGAAGCAGTGCACATCAATTGTGCCCATGTTGTCTTGGCCAGAGCCCAGTCACATGATCACTCATACTACAGGAGAGACTAGGAAACAGTCCAGTGGTAAGCCCAAGAGGAAAGGAGAGCAGGTTTTGCTGTACACCTAGCAGTGTCTGCCTCATGGGCCAGGACTGTCTCTGTACTGAGAGAATAAAGACTGTGGCTCCTCGGGGTGGATGACATGGACAGCCTGCCTTGGTGTTTATAGGGGCTGTCAGGCATTAGCTAGTATAATCCAGGAGATGCACAAATACCTTCATTAATGAAATGAGCATTTGCTGCATGTCCACTGTGTGCCAGGTGGTGGGCCAGACACTGGAAGGACAAAGCTTCTCTTGGAGCTCTAGATGGTCCCCTTCACTTGTAACCTTCATAAGCCTCGTGCTGGGTGCCTTGGGAGCCAGAGAGCCTGGAGAGGGAGGAGGAGAGTGGGAAGAAGTTGTTAATATTGCTGGTTTGAGTGCCTCCTGCACCCCATATAGTTCATCCTCGTTCCCATGGTTCGCAAGCACTCTCTGCAGTGCATTGGATGAAATGTAATTAGAGGGGCCAGGGCAGCAGATAGCAGACCTTCTCTTTAGAGCTTCCTTGTTTATTTTAAGATGTTGTTTTATCTCTGTGAGGCATCTAAGGGAGGAGGTGGCTCCAGGATGTAGGATTGTCATCTTTTTTGTGTTTGTTTCTGGCTATTGGCAAAGTTAGGGAGCTGGCACTGTGTCTTACAACCCCTTCAGTGGTACTGATGGCAGTGCAGGGGAGTCCCGGAGCCCCACATCCTCGCTCTTTTCAGGTTATCAGCCATTGGTGTTAGAAACTGCTAGCCCTGGCGGGCTGAGATTGGGCAGACGGAGCATTCAGTCAGCAGCCACTGGGCTTCGGCTCTGTGCCCGATCCCTGTCTGAGTGCACGGGCACCCCTCCCACTGTAGCCCTCAGTATGTACAGTGATGGCAGTCTCCTCTAGGAGGGTTTTCAAAATGGGCTAAGAAAATGGGCATAGAGGACATACTTAACACAAACTAGAATAGACAAGGGAGGGAAGTTTTTAATTCTCCTTCAGAGATTTGGGGGTAGAAAAACATGTCACTAGAAGCAGGAAAGTAGCCTGGGTAATATCTGGGCCACCCTTCTGAACTGCGTGAGTTGATTTTCAGCTAAGGGAGGGAGGACTACAAAAGGTTAAATTTCTCATATAAGATTAATTCAGCCATCTCTGTGAAATGGTGGAAGCAGAATACCATTAGACTCTCTAATCTCATTTCTCTCATGCTGTCTTTCTTGGAGCCTGTCAAACAGGGTCCTGGCAGAGAGTCAGTTCTGTGGTTGCTAAACATCAGAGTCAGTCTCTTTCTGAATGTGCCAGGAGGCTGTAATTTAGAAAATGTAGCCTACCTTTTAAGGAAGGATGAAAAGGTACTAAATGCACCTTTCTTTGCATGTTAGATCCCAAATATTTTGACTATATTAAACATGTAATTCCTATGTGATTTTATTTTCTATGTTTTCTTAGGGTTATTTGCATGACATATTAGAAACAAACTTATTAAAACTGTTTATATTTTGTGGGTCTCTGTTGGTTTCATGCGTACTGCTTGGGGTCCTAAATACTAACTCGCCAATAAGATATGTGCCTTTTGTGCATGTAACTATGCATTCAGGATGCAAATGCAGAAACAATTTTGCCCTTATTTTAATTGCTCTACAACAGCGCATGTGATTTTTTTTTTATCTGATTTAAGCCTTTTGTGGGGGAATATTAGCTGCTGCTATACAAAAAACTAAATATACTTGGATGTTAGATTTTTAGATTTTCTGTTAGTCCTGGTCTTTTTTCATATTGCCACATAAAAATCTTAAAGGGGGTGGTGGGGGTGGGGTCTACCAGGAATGCAAAGTTTTTTTCTCCTTTCTAAAATACAGCATTAAATAATGCTGGTTATTTTTATATTGCATATTTGGGACAAAGAGTCTTAAATGAAAGATCATTGCAAGATCTGGTTCAGCAGCTTTGCCCCTTGCCTCAAGTTTACTGCAGGGCTTCTATCCCCTTTGGTATACAGAAATGAAATTATAAACCACCAGTAGCCTGGAAATTTCAATCGATCCAAATGACTAAATATTTAATTCAATCATTGCCTATACTTCCAGGGATGACTCTGGCGTTTTGCTTTTTACTGAGGGCTACATGAAAGCCAGGCTCTGCAATGGCTGCTGGGGACCGTGTCTATTGCAAGGAGGCTCCCCTGCAGTGAGGAGCCCAGGCACTGCAAGCCTTTTCAGAGCAGCCCTTTTTGCAAATGGTAGTCGATTTTTGCAGAAGGTTTGTGGCCAGATCGCTATGTATAATACTGATGAAGCATTTTTGTTCCAGCTCTGTCTCGGAAGACCTAGGCTGTAGACGTGGGGATTTCAGTAGGAAACATTATGGATCTGTGGAGCTGGTAAGTTTATGCTGTCTGTTCAGTGGTAGTACATTGATTTAGATTTAGAGACGATCACCAAGCTCATCAGATCTTTTGTTGTATATTTACTGTTAGAACATGTGGGTTACAGCATGAGGACTGGATTGAAATAAATACCTATTGAAAGATTATGATCCTTTGATCATCTTTATTTGTTTTTATTGTTATGTACTTTTAATCTTGTGCCTTCCTGTTTTTAAAAATTGTTGTGGCTGGGTATTTTTCTCTGTTAATGGTGTATATAATTAAATAAAATAATTTATGAACTAAGAAAGGTAGCATTTGGAATTTATATGATCTTTTTCCTAAAAGTTTATAAAGCTAGTTTTCAAGGTTTAAATATTATTAAAATACATAATTCTGATTTCCTACATCTTTGCTTTCTGGATATGTAATAAGAGTTAGAATATTTATGAGATTTTTTTTCCTGTTAAAAGCATATTGGTTGGACTAGATAAATGACTGTAATAGATGATAGATATATGGAATTGAAAATATCCACATTTTCCTTAATGAGAGACATTGGGGTTTGTGGTAGGATTTTAAAAAATAATATGTTTTCATTTTAAAAGAGGCATAATGAAAGCATAGAATAGCCTTAATTTTTTTTAAGATAGAATGTGAGTTTTTTCCAGTTGCATGGAAATTCAAACAAATTTTCAGGAAAATGTGCTCATATAATTATATTGATTATTATTTAACACTGTTAATAACATTAAATGTATTATTTCTATTTATTTAAAAAGAGTTACTTGTATTTATTTTTTTAGTACCCAGTTTCCCCCATTAATATAAGCTGCATTCTTGCAGAGTTTAAATAGTAGAAAAATTTATATCAGAGTGTATACCAGTAGCATTCTGCTTGAATTCAAGCATATATTACAGACTTGACTGTGTACCTGGGCTAGAGCCAGGTATTCTTGAAAATATAAAATAAGTGAAAGATTTGGTCCTTGTTCTTAAGGAGCCTACTGTCCTCTGGCTGGGCAGATTAATATATGTAAAATATCTAAAGAATTAATTTAGTCACACAAGAGACAAATTGACTCAATCAACACCTGCTGTGTCAGTCAGTGGTGACCCTACACCACTCAGACCACTGCCTCTCCTGAAAGAGCAGGTGCATAATTATAATTCAGAGTGGGGATTGGTAAATATTGTGCAAGAGATACAAGTAGAACATTGTGGAGGTTGAGAGAAAAGAGGGAGTGACCCATTCTGGCCAAGGGAGCTCAGGAAAGTGACCTGGAAGGCCTGGCAGGGCATGTAGGGAGGGCCGGTGGCAAAGAGGATAGCACAGTAGGTTTGGGCCAACAGCACAGTTCCTGGCAACAGTATATTTACAAGGTGATGAGCAAATGTCCTGCCTATCTGAGCTCAGTGGTTACAAGCAAACAGGCTTTGGACTTAAGCCTGCTTCACGTTCCAGCTCCACTATTCATCTCTGTGACCAGTCAAGTTACTTAACTTCTCTGAACCTCAGCGGTGCTTAAGACTTTGTGCTCTGAAGTCATTCTTGTTTCGTCATTGTCAAGTTGCGTGTTATTGGACTTATTTTGGCCTTAGTTTTCTCATCTATAAAATGGGAATATTATCTACCTTATAGTGTTGTTATAAGAATGAAATGAGATGATACATGTAAAGTACTTAGCACCTAAGCACAGTTTATGTTAACTAGCTGTAGTAGTAAAGACAACATTCAGCAGCAAAAGTAGAATCTTGAATGTTAGGTGAAGACTTTGGACTTGGCCTAGCAGGTAACAATCTTGTAAACAGTGAGTGGTGTTTAGGGGAGAGAACATGAATATGAAAGATGGACTCTTCAAAGACATTTGGAAATCACAGAATATCAGAATGGAATGGTACTTGAGAGCAGTGGTTCTCAGACTGAGCAGGCATCAGAATCCTTTGGAGATTGCTAGGTGCCAGCCCCCTGGTTTCAAATTCAGTAGGAATGGGGTTAACCTGCAATTTGCATTTCTGTAAAGTTCTCAGATTGATGTTGAAGTTGCTGGTCCCAGGACCACACTTGAAGAACTCCTGCGTAAAGCATCCCAGCCAGGTCCTCAGATATCCTGGCCTGCTCAGACAGCTCATTGACTAAAAGTTCTTCAATCCATTTGGAGCTATGATTGTGTATGTGTGTATATTTATGGTTGACTTTTTTTTTTTTTTTGAGACAAGAGTCTCACTCTATTGCCTGGGCTAGAGTGCCGTGGCTTCAGCCCAGCTCATAGCAATCTCAAACTCCTGGGCTCAGGCAATACTCCTGAGCTGGGAGTACAGACATGTGCCATCATGCCCCACTAATTTTTTCTATATATTTTAAGTTTCCCAGCTAATTTCTTTCTATTTTTTAGTAGAGACCGTGTCTCGTTCTTGCTCAGGCTGGTCTCAAACTCCTGAACTCAAATGATCCACCTACCTCAGCCTCCCAGAGTACTAGGATTACAGGCATGAGTCACTGCACCTGGCCCTATGGTTGACTTTTAAAAATATTATAAAATAAATTTTAAATATATTTTAAAATTCCATGTATAATCTTACCTGGTAGTGACTGTTTTTGTCTCTGTTGGGTACCTTCAATTCTTTATAGCTACAAATCTCATTTTTCCATGGTTATAATGAAATTTATGTAATTTTTTTCATTTAACTGTATTTTGTAAATATATAGTCTTCAGAGTTACCATTTTAATTGGTATGTGATAGCCCAACATGGCAATAAATGATTATCTGTATGACAGTTTCCCTCTTCTTGTAAAATTAGGTTGTTTCTAGTTTTCCCATGTTAGAAATGACATGCACGGCTGGTGGGAATGGTTGAGAAAAATGAAACAAGCATAGCTCCATTTTTGCTATCTCAGGATCTTCTGAAATTCTCACTCCAGTGATCTAAAAGGAAGGCAATATTTTCCTGTTACCTCTGAACAACAGAGTATTATAAATTACAAACCATTTTATATGTTCTGTGTTCATGAGAAAGTGGGCTTAACTTTTATTAAACCTTGTATGATGAAAACTGTTGGGAATTCAGTAAGTGTTGGGCATCCTAGAACTCAGACTTTGCAGAACAGTACTCAGGAATATGTTATATAAAATTGAAATTTTAGCAATAAACTTCTCCTGACCTTGAACAAGTTAGGTGTAAGTCCTGTGAAGAACTAAGCTTGGCCATTTAAATCAGTAATGAGAGCAGATTTAGAGGCTTAGTGCCCCAGGTTTCCATCTGATACAAATTAGATGAGTGAGAACATGAGAGCCCAGGTCTCCCTAGACACATGGAAGAGTTTCTTAGCCTTCCTTTAACACATATCTGTTGGAGGTCTGCCATGTGTCAGGCACAGTGCTGGGCACTGAGAGAGAGCAGAAAATAAATAGTTCTGCTTCATGGAGCCTTCGTCTAGCGTTAGAAACCAGTTGCCTCACACCTGTGTCCCCAGGCTGCTGCTTTCCTGGATCTCAGCCGTGTCCCTGCCTTAATCAGGGATTGCTTCCTTGCAAGGAACAGAGAGCTGTTCAGCCTAGCTCAAGTGTCAAGGAATTCACCGAAAGGAAGAATCTCGCAGAAGTGACTGCAGGAAGCACAGCTGGGCCTCATGTGACTGGAAAGCTGTCAAGCAGCTCTTTCTCTGTTTCTCTCTGGTCCATATGCTTTCCTGTCTATGTCATTCTCCTCTCTGCAGACCAGACTCCCATGATGACACAGTTTTCTTTTTCCAGTTCCTTCTTCCTAGCAGCCAGAGTGGTGATCTCTTAAATTTATTTTTTATTGTAGTAAAATAGAAATTTACTATTTTAACCATTTCTAAGTATATATAATTCAGGGACATTAAGTACATTCACATTCGTGTACAACCATCACCACTGTCTACTTTCAGGACATTTTCTATCATCCCAAACTGAAACTCTGTTCCCATTAAACACTAACTTCCCATTTCTCCCTCCCCAGCCCTTGGTAAACTCTATTCTACTTTGTCTGTATGAATTTACCTATTCTAGGTACCTCATATAAGTGGAATTGTAAGATATTTGTTCTTCTGTGTCTGGCTTATTTCACTTAGCATAATGTTTTCAAGATTCATTTGTGCTACAATGTGTATCAGAATTTCATTCCTTTTTATGGCTGAATAATATTCCATTGTATTTATATAACACATTTTGTTTACCCATTCATTTGTTGGTAGACATTTGGGTTGTTTCTACGTTTTATTTATTATTCTATTATGATTAAAGCTGCTTTGAACATTGTCATCCAAATTTCTAATGGAGTTCCTGCTTTCAATTCTTTTTTTCTTTTTTAGAGACTGTCACCCAGGCTGGGGTGCAGTGGTACAATCATAGCTCACTGCAGCCTTGAACTTCTGGCCTCAAGTGATCCTCCTGCCTCAGCTTACCAAATAGCTGGGACTACAGGTGCGCTCCACCACATTCGGCTAATTTTTAAATTTTTTTGTAGAGATGGAGTCTCACTATGTTGCCAAGACTAGTCTTGAACTCCAGGCCTCAAGTGATCCTCGGCTTCCCAAAGTGCTGGAATTACAGGCGTGAGCCAACATACCTGGACCCTGCTTTCAATTTTCTTGTATTTTCTATATTGATGAGGTGTAGAATTGTTGGATCATATATGGTAATTCTATTTTTAACTTTTTGAGGAACTGCCAAACTTATTTCTACAGTGGCTGCACTATTTTACATGTCTGTGAGTAATGCACAAAGGTGCTACTTTCTCCACATTTTTGCCAACACCTGTTGTTTTCCTTTTTTTTTTTTAATAATAGCCATCCTAATGGGTGTGAAGTGGTTTTGATTTGCATTTTCCTGATGATTAGTGATATTGAACGTGTTTTATATATTTATTGGCCGTTTGTATATCTTCTTTTGAGATATGACTATTCAAATTCTTTGATCATTTTTGAAATTGGGTTCTTTTTTGGCTGTTGAGTTGTAGGGGTTCTTTATAAAATCTGGAGATTAGTCCC